TAAGTTGTACGCCAACCTTAAGAAGTGTATATTCGCAGCTAGCGAAATACCGCTTCTTGAAAGCATCGTCGGAAAGAACGGCGTACGCCCTGATCCATAGAAGATCAAGGCGATCACCGACTGGACAGTGGCAGTCGATGTCAAGGGACTAAGGAAGTTCCTTGGGCTAGCGGCGTACTTGCACAAGTAATCGCGCAATTACGCCCGAAATGACAGTACATCTTTCTTGTTTACTCAAGAAAAATGTAAAGTGGAACTGGAACGCTGACTGTCAGCGTTCCTTTGAACGTATCAAGCAAATCTTGATGCAATCGCCAGTGTTGGCGATTGCCGATCAAGACAGACCATTTCATGTGGTCTGTGACGCCAGTGATTTTGCAATCGGCTGTGTACTGATGCAATATGATACAGACGGCGCAGAGCGTGTCGTCTGTTATCAATCGCGTCAGCTGCAACCGGCTGAACGCAATTACCCGGTGCATGACAAGGAAATCCTTGCCATGAAGTATGCACTGGCTAAGTTTCGCGTCTATCTCTTAGGAGATAGACCGTTCAGTGTATATACAGACCATGCGTCACTACGCACGGCTGTAAATAGTCCACACCTCTCGCAACGAATGGCGAGATGGTTGTCATTCTTCGCGGAGTACAACTTCTCCGTGGAGTATAAGCCGGAACGACTTAACGTCGTCGCCGATGCTCTTTCACGTCGGCCTGACCTAGAGCCGACTGTGCAATCCGACAGTGATGTAAACACCACTGTCGCCACGCTGAGTACCAGCGTCTTGTCGTCGAGCTTACTCGACGACATTAGAAGGGCATGCGCACAAGATAATGATCTTGTACGCCTGATGGAGTACCTCAAGGACCCATACACGCAAGCTAAGAAGCGCTTGCCTGCCATGTATCGATCTTCTCTAGATAGATACACCCAGCGGGACGGCTTACTGTACTACACAGCCGTCAACAACGACACGCCTCGTGTCGTTGTACCGCCACAACATGATCTCAGGTTACGGATCATGTTTGAATGTCACGATGCACCAATAAGTGGGCATCGCGGCCGTGGGAGGCTTACCTCACGGTCAGTCGCGACTTTTACTGGCCACGCCAGTATAAGTTTGTGCGTAAGTACGTGCGTGCTTGCGAGGTGTGTCAACGAGTGAAGCCTAGTCCTTCACTCCGTGCACCATTGCAGCTTCTACCTGCTCCGGTAGAGTGCTGGGAGTCCGTATCAATGGATTTCGTCTTTGGGTTTCCCAAAGACGCTCACGGGAATAATGGTATTCTCGTGTTTGTAGACAGGTTCAGCAAGATGGTACATCTTATTGCTGTACCTGAGTCGATCACAGCAGAGGGCTGTGCTCGAGTGTTTATCGATACAATCTTTCGATTGCACGGTTTACCCCGTGAACTTGTGTCCGATAGGGACCCCCGGTTCACGGCTGAGTTTTGGCGTTCCGTGTTCCAAACACTTGGAACACGGCTCACAATATCTACTTCTGACCATCCAGAAACTGATGGTCAGACTGAACGCGCCAATCGCGTCCTCGAAGAGATTCTTCGAGGGTACGTCCACTCGTTTACGAGTTGGAGTGAGCTCTTGTCGATGGTCGATTTCGCCATCAACAACTCCGTGCATGCGTCCACGACGCATACACCGTTCTACGTGAATGGCCTTCGCCATCCACGTGTCCCCACCTTAGTAGAAGGTGACTTTAATTTAAGGGGGGGAGGGACTCGCTCGAGCGAGAACCAATCTGGCTCTTGCTCATCACGCGACGACGTTATGGTCGACGCGAAAGTAACCAAAGTCGTACCATTCGACTTCGGTGAAGAGGAAGAAAGTAAGAGCGATGACGCTCTTACTGATAACGATGCTGAAGATGTCAGCATCGTTCGAGGTATCAAAAGTGAGGACAGTATTGTTCTCGCTGAATTAGTAACCGATATCTCTGCAGTGCACTCACAATGCACTGCAGCCAAAAGCAACGAGTCAGCTGAGGATTTCCTGCTGACTCGTGAAGCGGTAATCCGTTTCGTGCAAGACTCCATCGCAGAAGCGGTGGATAAGCAAAAACAAAACGCAGACAATAATGGAAGGGCAAATGCTCAGACATTTATAGAAGGTGATTTAGTTTTACTGTCAACAGTAAACCTACCTAAACATGTAGTGACTAACGTAGGCAGCAATAAATTGTTGCCCAAGTACATCGGCCCGTTTCGTGTATTGCGCCGCCTAGGCAACGCATACACGATTGAGTTGCCACGCAGGATGCGTACGCATCCTACGTTTTACGTGGGACGTCTTCGTCCGTACGTTCAGTACGCGGCTTCTTCGAACGACAAAGATAGCCATTACTCTCAAGAATCTCCTTCAGATTCTTGTTGTCACGAACCAGATTCGATATCTGGTCGTGTAGAGATGAGATCTTCCCATGATATTGGACGATCTCCTGACGAGCTGTCGCCAGCTCGTTACTTAGAGAATGAACTCGCCGTTCATTCTCCAATAGTGCGACAGCATTGTTTGCCCGAGACCTCTCATGGTCAAACCCAAGCTGTCGCACAATATCCTCTAAGCGGCGACGCTTATCCCGTTCGTGATCAACATCACAACGGAGCTCACGAGTTACACGGGCAAACCCGTCTAACTCAGCAGCCAAGTCCGATGAAAGAATCGGACAGGGTTTTCCCTCCACCACCGCATCCGCTTGTGGACTCCCATGGTGGGAAGCGCTTCCTCGTGGAACGCTTACTAAAGCACCGCGAGGTGAAGGGACGTCGGACGAGTTATCTCGTCCGGTGGCGTGGCTATCCGCCTTCGGAGGATAGCTGGGAACCTCAAGTCCAACTGATCGCCGACGTTCCCGGCCTTGTCAAACAGTACGACAAGGGACACCCAATGGTGAAGAACCATCGGAAAACGAGCGCCCAGCGCGCTCGTAAAGAGATTGCAAAGTAGCAATCCCTACACGCATTTCAGAAGAGATGCGAGCTCTCCACCAGGGCTCAGTAAGGAGGTACGCCTCCTTAGGCGCTCTTGACGAGGTGCTCAGGCACCCCGGGCATGGGTCGCCCCAAGAGAGGCATAACAGGCCTGCCTCTCTAGATAACCGGTGCAAACGATAGCATGCACCGGAGGTACTTCGTTTCTCAAACTTATTGCGGCTAGCATAAAGTCTTGAAACCAAGCCTCTTTCCCAACGTTTAAAACGTTGGTGATAAACGCGTTCCAAGATTGGAGGAACACGTCAGCCTCACGCTTCTTGTGTGGGCCATACCATCGATGTTCAAGAAACACATCGATGTAATAGTCGTTCTCAGTGCGAAAGTTTTTCGCACTGGCGTCAAGGCCATGGAGCTTTGAGGCATCAAACAACGGTATGAAGAACCGTTCGTTGGTCTTTCCAGACCAACGATCAAGCAGATGCTTGGGTAGCATCCATGGCTTGCGATCAGGAGCAAGACGCAATACGTTGCGATCTAAAGCCTCCTGCGTGGTGTCAACAGAAGTACCGACACCACGAGCATTAGTGTCAACAGAAGTACCGACACTATGAGCATTGATGTCAGTAGAAGCACTGACATCACCCTTACGGTCCCCACCCGAGTCACTATCCTTCGACTCGTTTGGCGAGTCGTCTGATTCATCAGACGACCCGAACATTTCACGGTACATTGATTCACTCAATGTACCACGATCCCTCTTCGTAGCATTGGACGACGAGGTATCACCCCGGGGAGAGCCCGGGAGTGGAATAGGTGACTTTGAGCCGGATGCATCATCCGACTCACCAGAGTAGTCAACGACTAACTCTGGGTCAAAATCTTCACGTGGTGAAGCGCTAAGTGAACCTGCAACAGGCGTTGCAGGCTGATGTTGACTTCCAGCAGACACATTAGTGTCTGCTGGCTGAGGCTGTGAAGCCTCAGTAGCGGCTGCACACAGGCGTGCAGCCGAGCTCTTAGCTGCCTTAGCAGCGACGCGCATTGACTTTGTCATAGCGTAATTGTTGAATGAAAGAAAATTCAACAAGTTCTCCTTTCCCATAGTCACTAAACAGTCACTAATGTGACTGTTGGTTAAGGGGGGGGGTTGATGTAACGGGGTGAGCCCGTTACATAATATTGACACTTGTATGAAGTGTCAATAAAATATTATGATAACTCATAATATTTGACAATATTACCTTTTCTTATAATATTGTCCCTAGATCTCCTTGAAGTTGGAGATGCCCTCTCATTGGTTGATATGGGCCATTATATCAACCAACGCGCTGACCAATGAACGGTGGACGCGCGCTATGAGTGGAGGGCAAATTGTCAACATACATAGTTGTAGTTTAATATAGTTAACATAGGTTATAACAGAATAGTTTTATTAAGATAGTTAACTATATTAAATACAGTTTTCTTTTCCTCTACTTCTAAGCGTATCGTTTAGAAGTAATGCTTCCTCTGCCTCTTGTGTAAGAGAGGTAATTGAGGCACCTGCTTTCACTGTAATCAGTGAAAGTAGACTATACTGTAATCAGTATAGTCGGAGGGTGCCCCATTACAAATAGACCTTATATCACGCTTGGACGTCTGTAGTCTTTACACTGACACAGGTAGCCTCAGCTCACAAGCGTTTTCATGGTCACGTTTACATCTTGGTCAGGCTTGGGCTCATAACCATTTTATAGTATCTTTTGCTAGATCTCTTCAGCTTGGCTCTCTTCTTGCTTAAACGACTTGTTGGCACACTGCCTTTTTTTGAAACTAAGCACTCAGCTCATGCTTGCAGTGGCAGCTACTCTGTCAGTCGCTTGTTTACTCATTGAGCCTGCGATACTGAATACTAAGCAACAAACGACTTCTCCATGTTCTACCAGCTACGGGACGAGTCAACACACAGGCCCCAGGGCCAACGATCATCAGTGTTTCTAACTGCTTCAACTTGTTCCTAACGGCTTCGACTGCAGGAGCGTATTACAACATGCTTTTTCTTTGAAAAAATGCTGTACGAGTAAAAATCTAATAGGGTCATCAAGGAGCTCTTTTTTGAGCTGTGGGACTCCCAATTTTATCGGCTTTTCACCTTTTGGCGGTAGCTTTGACTCGAACTGATGGTTGGTTGCCTCCAATTGGCTCTGCTGCTTTTGTATTGCAACAGGGGTGTGCGCCACACTATTACGACAATGTTAGGCGCTGAAAGGCAATGGCTACGTCGGCAGTGGCGGGTGCTGTCTCTGGCATATCAATTGCAGCAACATGTGCGATCTCACGTACCTGTTGCGTCAAAGCTACATCAGCTGAATGCGGTCCATGTCCGCAGCTTCGCAATGCCTGCAGCTATTTTAAGTCAGATGAACTTGCTTGGACGCCGCTACGATGTGTTGGCGCATGAATTATCACAGTATGTTACTGTTTTTTCATTGTTTCTTTCGCCTCTTATTGTTCCAAGCTGTATTAATTCTAAGTAATGGATTGAGCTGCATTTTCTGATGTATTTTTCGTGTAATATTGACGTTATCACAGCAACGATGGCAGCTTTTCATCGAACAAGATCACGACTCTTGCTATTGAAATGGCAGAGCTGGAGCCAAAGGTAGCAGCAGTGCGTGAGCTGCAGAATCAACAAAAATTAGTGAAGGAGCTGGACGAAATGATTGTGGAGCAGACGGACAGTGACGACCCTGATGCCGTAGAGCTCCGTCGCATGGCAGAGGACGAGCGTCGAGAGCTGTTGGAAACTATTAACCTACTGGAAAGTGAGGTAGTGCGGCTCATGCTGCCACGTGATGAGGTAGATGAAAAGAGCTCGATCGTGGAGATTCGGGCAGGTACCGGTGGTGATGAGGCTTGTCTTTTTGCTGCGGACATTCTCAAAATGTATCAGAAGGTGGCGCTGGCCAAAGGCTGGAAGTTTGAAATTATGAGCTTATCTGAGACGGACTTGGGTGGCTGTAAGGAGTGTGTTTGTTCTCTTACAGGTCGTGGTGCCTATGGCCGCATGAAGTTTGAGAGTGGTGTCCATCGTGTGCAGCGCGTGCCAGTGAACGACGTTCGCGTGCACACGAGTGCCGTGTCCGTGGTGGTGTTGCCTGAAGCTGAAGACGTCGAGGTGGAGATCGAATCGAAAGACCTCCGCATTGATGTATATCGTGCGTCCGGAGCTGGAGGCCAGCACGTCAATACGACGGAAAGCGCAGTACGGATTACGCATATCCCCACAGGCATCGTGGCATCAGTTCAAGATGAGCGATCGCAACATCAAAACAAGGCCAAGGCGCTGAAGATTCTCCGTGCGCGTGTATTTGATGGTATCCGTCGACAACGCGACGCCGCACGTCACACTATGCGAAACTCACAGGTGGGCTCAGGTGATCGCTCTGAGCGCGTACGAACCTACAACTTTCCGCAGAGCCGCGTGAGCGACCACCGCGTAAACGTGACTGTCTTTGGCATCGAGCGGATGCTGAATGGTGAGTTGCTGGATGACATTGTGGATGCGCTAGTGGTTGACGAGCAGAATCACCTGCTTAAACAGCTTGAAAACGTATCCGAGACGCTATAGAACAGAGCTCGCATAGAGACTGAATGCAACACAGACTTCTTACGATGAACTGAGTCACGTCTTGCCGCGATGCAACGCGTAGATTAACGAAAAAAAGACAGTAATAAAGTAACATCGGCAAAACGTACGAATCAAGCAAGTGTCTCCCAACCAAGACGTTCTGAATAACATGTATTGGCTTCATGTTTGGAACGGAGCAAAAAGGTGCTGGATGCACCAACATAAAAGCGCGTGTTGAGTTTACACTAGATAAGGGGCTGGTCGAATGCACCGTGCCCAGTAGGTTTTTGGTCTAGGATATCTAGCCTACATTAAAATAACGTGTACGTAGGACTCACTGGGCAAATGTAGCAACGGCGCTATGCGGTTCCTGGAAACCAAAGGAGAAGCGTCGAATAGAGCTTACGTTCACGCTGACACTCAGGCTGTCACGTCTCTTTTTAGTAAATTGGTGATTGTGGCGCTGTACCTCACGTTGCATCGAGATGCTACGTGAAAAGCCTGGCATGGTGCTCTTCTTATCTTGTTTTGCGTTCACCTCAAAGAAACTCACGATGAGCTCCAGCAGCGAACAACCACGTACACGACACATCTGTAGCTTTTGAGGCTCGCAGAGGTTGAGTCGCATAGCCAGCTTGAGAAAAAACTGGTCTAGTTCACTAGCGCGTGCTTCGAGCTTGTGCTGTGTGAGCAGCAGGTGCTTCTTGGGGAACTTGTCCTGCTCAAGTCCAGCGAGGAAGTGACAATGCTCAGTGCACAAACTTTGTGCGTTGTTGCCAGACAGCTTCTTGCTTAGCTCGAGCCACAGCTCACGGATCTCACTGTAGCGCTTGGCTACGTGCCAGCGACTACGACCACAAGTTACTTGAAGTAGGTAGAGCCACGTGCGGTCGGACGTGAGGCACAACTCGCCTATTTTCACTTGCAGCGTGCTAAGGTCTGGCAGACCCTGTATTAAGACGTCCATGGATACGGACTTGGATCGGGTTGCGGTTACCATGGTACTAGAATTTGCAAATACAATATTGCTTGAGCTGTATCGAGACGATTGGGAAATGAGTCTTCGCGCTCGAATGTTCAAGTTAGTCGATAGAAAAAGTGGTGAAAAACAAGACGGGGGTGTGTGATTGGTCAACGTCGTGGGATGGGTTGGTTGACACACCGCTCTCGCCCCACGAAGTGGGAATTGTAGTGATTGCTTGTGATGTCTCATTTATTAGCGGCTTTCCCAAGTCTACAGCAGTATGAAGTATTAACACCTGGTTTATCGGATTAATATCCAGTCAAATGAAAGAAACAAACAAGATGTTCGCTCCCATAATGAATGACCTAGATGGCAGAGAGATACCCTGGTGGCGTTTAAGTCCATCCAAAACGTGTCAATTATCTTATACTAGCGGTGCTGACCACTACGGCGAAACACAATGCAAACTCCATAGCAGCCTTTCTTTCTGCAGGCGTCTCATTATTGCTCGACAAATTAGGATCCGTCGAAGTTGTCTAACATGTCAATTCCTTTTACGGTTAAGCGCCCTTCTTCAGCCTAGTCTTCAGGCTCCACGTGTTTGACCACTACCTTAATAAATACTAAGCCTACCTGTTGTTCACCATTTATCATCATCGATCCGGATATTCTCACACATCAAAGGGCAACAGCTGGGCTAACGCAAACATGAACCACCTTCTATATTGATCGGAATTAACAGAATTGATACCAGTCAAAGTTGACCGTCTGTTAGTCGACACGGCTGCAAGTGATTCAAATCTTGTCCAGTTGGAAGTGCACGTACCGCACGATACATGCAAAAACTCTTCAGCTGCTGTCCAGCTGCACAAGTTTTTTCATCGTTTCCATGATGTGGTTTGTGGCCAACATAACTCGTTACAAAATTGTAAACTGTAATGTCTGAATGTTGTTAAGCAAACGAAAAAACTCTGAGAGGGGGGCACTAAGTAATGACCCTAATTCCACTGCGATGCTACACGAGACACCCATTCCTCGCTTCGTATCTGTGCTGATGCGCAAGTTTTTGGTCAAACCCTGCAACTTGTCCAAAGCCTTGCGGCGCCAAACATTAAGCTCTCCACGCTACTACGTCATCGCTTGACCCTCTCGTACAAGATCTCGAAACGACCTATACATGCTTAAGCAATATAAAAAGCAGTGCAGAGCCAATTAAGGCAAACAACCATCAATTTCGAGTCAAGATTGGGAGTGTCACAGCTAATAAAAGATCTTCTTGGTGACCTTATTAGCTCTTAATTCGTACCGCATTACCGAGAGAAAGCAAAGTTCATGAAAGTCTGATGTCAGCTGATTAGACAATTGCTTCCGACGACCAAGTTGAAGATAATTCGAAGATTTCTGCTCTTTGCCTTTATTACCAATTTCTTTGAATTGACAAGGAAGGCTGTGGATATAGATTTTTATGTTACGCAGTCGTCCATGGTAAAATGTGCAAGTTAGTCAGGCTTAGCAGCAAAAGCATAGCCAAAAGAGTGCAAATGAATGGCGTAGTCTGGCACATTATGTAACAGCATCTTAAACATTGGTCGATAATAGAACTCCTCCCGATTTTGGAATATGTTTCTCAATGAGGTCTCGTCCTTTTCGATAGTTGCTTTGTCGCACCGTGATCGCTGTAGACTGTCTCAATGACATGGATCTCATAGCGGACATGCGCGCTTGCGTGAAAGTCGCTGATCATCTTGGTGGATGAGGTTTTTCTCGTTAAAATAACTTGTTTGAAAAAGCGCTCGTCTGTGAGAGATGCAAAGTCATTGGACCGTACTTCTTAATCATTTTCTTTGGGGCGCTATCTAACATTGTGCGTTAACATACAGGATGCCAGGCACTTCGGTCGTAACGCACGGACCAATACTTTAAATTAAGTTCACAAAGCCCGTGAAAGCAGCACCATGCGTCTCGAAGAGCTTGGTTTTGGTTGGTTTGTAGCACTGAATGGGTGGTATTCGGATATTAACAGCTCATGCAGAAGGCTCAAGGCTTTAAATGCTCCTATAGCTGACTTATGAGAAACTTGCACAGGTGGTGCAATGGTGTAAAGGCTGCGTTGCCACCATTAGCTGCAGCTTAAACCTTTGTACAGCCATGATGACCGTATCTGTCCTCAGCTAGCTGTCGTGCATGGTCCGTTCGATATTCGTGTTGCACGCCGCCGTCAAATCGGCATGAAAAGAGTTGCAAAGAGCTTGCGCTGGCATCGAGGCTGAGCAACGAGTAGCAGCTCTGGGAGCTTGCATAGAGCAATAGATATGTCATTTTAGGCGTCATCTGGGAAGAAAATGATGCAAAAGTACTGTAATGTTCAGCTTGTGTGAAGTAGACTATAATTACATCACGAATGCTTCCGCTTCAACTGGCGTCAGTTCAGGATATCAGAATGTGATAAAAGTTATTTGCAGCGTCACAGTATTTCTGTCGAGCACTATTAACAGTATATTATGATAAAGCAGTGTCTATGGCAGATCAAATGCGAGAGTATCATCGATAACTTACTGTATTACTAAAATTGATATAGGGATCGCCTACACAATGCGTGAGACTAAATCCTGTAATGCAATTCGACCATATTGGAGAAAGTGCTTTTCCTCCACTGCAATTGCAAGTAGGTCACAAGGGATCAGCGCACATTGCAAGCCTGCTGACGATATACTGCGCTTCCGTAAGTGCTGCATCACTTTTACGATCCGAATAACGAGGTGCTTTTGAGGCCTGAACACCAACTTTGTCACCAAATGTTACAATTGGCAAGTCGTGTATACCGGTGAGTATTCTACACATGCCTTACAACTTGTTGCGACAAAGTACTCTGTCCACAATTGTCATAGTATGCCCAAGTTCGTCAAGAGCTAGCAGTGCTACGGCCCGACAAAGCTCACGCACCCATTTGCAAGACCATAGCGGGATTATGCCGTGTCTTCCATGAAGACAAATCAATTGTAAAACGTGGCGTGCTGCAAAATTTACAGTTGAGCAGATCGTGCTAAGTGATCAAGGGGAAGCGCTTAAGTGTCGATATCGTTTTAGCGTATGTCTCAGACTAGAATAGATGCGTCGAAGCACCGTGTCTTGATCAATCTCCAGCAAAGCCGCCTATGCATTAGTCGTCCACCCGTCGGTGACAAGAATCTTTTTTCGATTAGCATGGCTTACGCTCAAGGCACCGTTTTACATGATTGACGTGCCACCTCCTGTTGCTGGCAACACCTTTGACAATTTTGCTGTGGAGTGACACTGGTGCAGCACGACGCGAACGGAGAGATACTCTTCTTGCATCGAAACATTCGTAGACTCACCAGCGAGCTCAAGCGCCGGACGGTCAATCTTAGAACCATTGCAGCTCTACGTGCTAAGCAAAACTTGGCGCTCGCTCGATCTAGAAGACGCACAAATCCAACGATAGAGGAGATTAGTGAAAAGTTCAGGAACAATGGCGCCACACTTTCACCTATGTTGGACGCGCCCGAGGCTAATTGCAACTGTAACGCGATGAGCCCGTTACATAACATTGACACTTATATGAAGTGTCAATAAAAATATTATTATAACTAATAATATTTGACAATATTACCTTTTCTTATAATATTGTCCCTAGATCTCCTAGAAGTTAGAGATGCCCTCTAATTGGTTGATGTGGGCCATCATATCAACCAACGCGCTGACCAATACCGATGGACGCGCGCAATGAGTGGAGGGCAAGTTGTCAACATACATAGTTGTAGTTTAATATAGTTAACATAGGTTATAACAGATTAGTTTTATTAGATAGTTAACTATATTAAATACAGTTTTCTTTTCCCTCTCAACTAAGCGTGTGTATAGTTGATTAATTTCCTCTGCTCGCGTGTACGTAAGGTAATTGAGGCACCTACTTTCACTGTAATCAGTGAAAGTAGACTATACTGTAATCAGTATAGTCGGAGGGTGTCCCATTACAGTAACGAATCATAAGTTACACGAGTTCGTTAGATCGAATACTTAACGGGGAGTTTTAATAGGGTACATGTTACCTTAGATAGACCTCTTACTTGGGTATCGCACATCAATGTGGCCCATCTTCGTAAATGTGATATGCACTAGGTGTGTCACATTGATGCGCATCTATAGAGATGGCACCCATCATTATACATTAACCAATCAGTATTTAGATTTATATATAGTTAAATCTATTAAATATAAATCAGTCTTGAATTTGCTACACAATGTTTACTGCGCACGATAAGCTGAGAAAGCTTCTGCGTGACGTAAGTAGTACACTTGTTAGTTGTTCGTTGCGCTATCGCTTAAGCGAAAGGCAAATGGTGGTACGACTGCTTAAGCAGTCGACTAACCGCATAACCACCCTCGCACGCGAAGGTAAGACGGTCTAACGTCTTCCTCGCTTGTGCTGAAGGTGTGTGCTAGTAGCACGAGGCAGCTTCGTAGAAGTGTCCGCCTACACTTGGTATCACTAGTAGTCCTTCCCACGACCCGTCTCTCTGAGCGTGCGTGTGGTTAAGATGGTCCTTAATATGGACAGGAGTGACTTCCCTCACCTCTCCCAACATCATAGGGAGTTGGCAGAGCATATGGCGCAGGGAATTGGTGAACAAGCCCTTGTTAACCTCTTGCATTGTCCTCCTGAGCAACATGTTGCTCAGTTGGAGCAATTTGAGGCGTTTGTGCTCAGACAGCGTAGAAACGCGTCCGAGGTAAACAGCCAAGCCACCGCTGAGTCCATCAATAAGACTCAGGATGAGCTTAGGCTTGAGCAGGCACGTAATGAGGCGCTCAACAGAACTGTTGAGACGCTCTCTGCCCGGCCTGCTCAACCGAGGCCCATTCGGATGGACCCTCCGAAGTTCGATGGAACTAGCCCTCACACGATTGTTCACTGGCTATTAGCAGTTGAGCGATGTGAAGTGGCGCAGTTCATCGAAGACGACACCAGAATGGTGTTGTATGCCATGTCCAATTTGCGTGGAAAAGCGTCAGAG